TTGAGCTGGATTGACCAGCCGACTATGATCACTAAGTCATGCTCTACCACCGAGTTATACAAGAGTCCTAACACCACCAACAGCAAAAGTGGATGAGAATAATGATAGGAATCGCAAAAACAGTCCCTTGCTTTTTTTGGATGGATTTTGAATACTAGGGATGGGCATAGGATTTGTAAAAGAGGCATCAACTCACGTGTTGACCACTGCCCCATAGTTGGTCAGAGTAACAGGTGCTCTAATTCCTTATTCCTAGCCTGATTTACAATTGGGATTGCAAAAGGGAGGGGGTGCCTGCATGGTAGCTGATGCAGCAAGGAGTCTATCTGTACATGACATGCTGTTAGCTGATGGTAAATAATACCTCACAGCTTCATGAGGTAGCTAAATGTGGTGTTGTCTCTCACCAAAGATGACAGAGGAGAGGTTCCAGTCTGAACAGAGGGAGGACTGTGACTGGAGGAGGTCAGTCACAACCCTGTCCATGTGGGCGAGCTTACTCTGGTCCTTCTCATGAGTGTGCAGGAGGTAGGCCGCCAGGCAGGGCAGGGAAGCACTGCCGTTACAACTGCTGCTCTTCTGAGGGGCAAATGAGGCCTGGAGTATTGTCTCCAGTGGACTAATGACCCTGAGTTTGAAGCTGGGGCAGGGATCAAATGTCTCTCTCGATACCTTGATGGTCACTTCAAGATCTCCAGCGTAAGGAATCTCTGTTTGTTTTTGGAATATATAGTATAAAGATGCAGACTGAAACTGTGCTTGTTTATATGACAAGGTGGCCTGTTTACTGGATGCATGGGAAAAAGAGAGAGAGAGAGAGAGAGAGAGAGAGGGGGCGGGGAGTGTGCGCAGAGAGAGAGAGAGAGAGAGAGAGAGAGAGAGAGAAAGCCCACCGGGAAGATTGGCACGAAGAACATTGCTGCCCAGAAGCTGGGCGGGAACCCAGGCAGGCGACGGCCTCTTTCCAGAGCTCTGGCCGGTGCAGCACAGCTCCAGCGTCACCAGCTGATGTTGCGGTAGGTCGCACGGAAAGATGACAACCACTGTCTGCATCTATTTCGGAGAGGATTCATTAGGTATCTAGTTGTTTATGGGAGCCTCCTATCAGAGAAAGCCTGAGAGCCCACGTTAGTTGTAGCTAGACAGCATTCAATAACATGCAGATAGCGGGCCGGGGAAAGGACAGAGCTAGCGGCCTGCAGCTAACTGAATCTACTGGTCCACTTACAAGCTACACGCAAACTATATACTATTGTACGCACACACAAGAGTCTTACCTTACCGACGTCGATGGAGGACGGAATAACTGTTACAGTAGTATCGTCCATCTCCGTATCGCTAGCTACCGACTAAGCTCGTCGATCTGCCACCGCGCGGATACGCTACGAGACACGCCCACACACCATTTATATATATACCAGCGCACGACCGCGCGGTGTATAGTCAACAATTTGAAAATTCGGTGCAATTGCACAAAAGACAAAGAAAGTGAACGATAAACATAATGGTTCTTTCAACAAATTCACATTGTGCTAGTCAGGTGCATTACAGCCAGCACACACTGGGCTATCTTTACAACCTGCATCAACAGAAGCATTACATTGTACTCATCATTACAACTTTCACTACAAAGATGTCACCCACTACACACGCAAATATGGACTACAGAGTATAACAAGGTCAATGGGAAACATCAAGGGAGATGACCTTTTTTAGAACTTAAGAGTTTTGCCATTCCCCTACTGTACAAATGGGAGCTTCCCCTCAATTCTGCAAATAAAGCGTCAACTTCTCCATCGAACTGTTCCCACCATAATTATTATTCCAGTGACGTACTGTTGCACATCCAGTGGCCACAGTTTTGGCGAACTTTGGACTCTCTTTTGTGGCAGTTGACACAAACACTTGCGTAGACACTACTGACTGGAGTCTGTGAAACAGTAACATGAGCAACGATAAAAACAGTGTGTAATGTTAGCTCCATGTTTAGTAACACAGGCCCCTCTCCACAACTTTAAAACGTCCTTAAGCCTTAGTGATGATATTCATAATATATCGCACGTGCGTATCAAACAGTGCAAAAAGAGACTTAAATATTTGAAGCAGGCAAACACACAGCTCATGTCAAACCTTGCAGAGTGGGCAGCGTTTGGCCTTGGGGGCACACAGGCTGCACATGGTGGCATGCCCACATGGATCGAACTTTGCATCCACCACATTGTCACACATGCAACAAAGATCATCATCACCTGCATCAACAACGACACAATAGCGGAGTCATTGTGTCTAATACAAACTAGTGTTGATAAAGGCACAGTAATGACAATGCTGATCGCTCCAATTGTTCTATTCCCAGATTGCGTCAGGGATTAAAATGGTGTTGGGGCTGGCGAGCTTGAAAGTTGGGTGGCATAAAATGCACATGCTCCGCTATAAATTCCCTATATGACTGTTTTTGGCAGTTAGCTTTGAGTCCATACCTGCATTATTATCTGGTGAGGAGGAAGGAGTGAGGCCGGAGACAGTGGAGGTAGAAGGGGGAGGAGCCGGCTGAGTGGAAGCTGATTGGCTGGTTCCAGTGGACCTCTGCCCACCACAGTACCCCACACCACTGTAACTGGCTGTCGGAGTAGCTCCACCAGAGTTTTCAAATACTGCGGCACCATTTGTTGCACCAGTGGCTCCAGTGGATCTAGTGGTCCCAGCAGTGGCCTCAGTGGCTCCTGCTGTAGTCGGTCCACCAGTGCTACATTCGTGAAACTCCGCAGTGGCTAAAATGCCGCTGGTAGTAGGGAGGGACACCAGTGAGCTCGAGGGAGTGAGGTGGTAAAACACGGGCTTCCTAGGTAGTACGTGTCCCAAAGCGGTGGCTCCCTGTATGAGTGGTCCAGCAAGCGTAGTTCCACTGGTATTGGTTGGTCCACGACGTCGGTTCCACGGGAGTAGTGGTCCCAGCAGTGGCTCCAGCAGTGGAGTACGTGGTGGATGATGCAGTAGAGTTAGAGGCAGACTGACGAGAGGTTGTCTTTGCAGGTTTACTCCTACCTCTCTGAAGGGTTATGTAAGAGGTGCATTCATTACACAACAGCAGCTACTGTACATGCATGATAACTATGGACAGTGTATACTGTCCAAAGACGAATTTAAAGTTTATGAATGACACATACATACACATGCACACGGCACACAACCAAGTGTTTTCACTATACGTATCACACTGCCCGCTACAAACTCACAGACATGTACGGGTGTTCATCGTCATTGTCGTCGTAGAATGAGAAAGCGTAAGACTCGTTGACGTCCTGGTAGATGCTGCGTCCAGCGCCAGACGGCGTGGCTCCACTGCTAGCACCACTCGACTTCCCTCTTTTCTTCTCTGAGAACGCCACGTGGGTAGCCTCGTCTGCGTAACCAGACGGAGCACGGATGATCATGACAGTGCGCTGCTGGCCCCCTCCGCTGTATTCGTCTTCATGCCCGCCCTCCTGGTAGAGACCGACACGAGCTTTCTTCCCGCCATGGCCACCTTGTTTGTCAGAGATACGGAGGAGAGGAGATCCGTCTGGGTGACCTCCCTCCTCACTGAGATTGACAGACACACACACACACACAGACAGAGCGGTGTTACACTCGAGTTTGGTGAAAGGAAAGAGAGAAGTACACCATACGAAAGGTGTGTTGTGTTAAGGTGCCATGTTTGCACTTACTTGAGGCAAACATAACCATATGTAGGTTTCCTCCACTCGGTTTAATTTTAATTCCGAGTAAGCCTAAATATTTGTTCACACAACCACATGCACACTCGGTTGGATTTTTCGTAACGTAAAACTATTGAAAGTCAAAGAAAAAAGAAAAAAATTTGATACTATATGGAAACACAAACACATTTGCACTACAGCTCACATGATGTCCTCAAAGTCGGCGAGGACGGTCAGGAGTGTCCCGAGGAACGGGAGGATCTGGTAGGGGCTGCGTCCGTTGCGGTTGGCCGTGTGGATGTCGGCTCCTTCCTCAGCAACAGAGCTGCCACCCCCATGATCCCGTACATTACAGACATCGACTCATTCACGTACTTCCCAAAGAGGGCTTTATAGAGCTGTGAAGAGCATCCAAAGCATGTGTGTATATACAGTATGACTATGCAGGACAGCTCTTCTATTATCGAAAGAGTCGTCCTGGGTGTAGTGCTTGCCTTTGCTTCCTGTGGCCTCGTTGATGTTGGCATGCATTAAACCTAATACTCTATCAAGCCCTTTGTAATTATGTAGTGGTAAGGTTCACTGGTTTTACAAGCATGCATGGGCAACTACAAGATAACAGTGGCCAGTTTCTGCATGGTACATTTGTGAAGGCCAATGAGCGGTAAAATAAACGGTGGTTCCCCACTATGCCACATGCCAGAGCTATCCGTTACATGAGCATTCACCAACCTTCCTCCACTGGAGGATTTACAAGTTGTCTTTGGGGCAGAGGACGCATTTCGTCCAATACGCAAAAACTTTTTTTACACAATTGGCTCAAGTGTCCCACCTTGTAGGTCATGGGGGAGTCCTCATTGGGTGGCTCCATGCCTTCTGCCCGAGAGGTGAGGTAGTAGAGTGGAGTGCAACCATCCTGATCGACTGCATTGACACTTGCCCCGTACATCACGAGCTTCTCCACGCTCTTGGTGTTCCCGCGACCCACGGCCATGTGGAGCGGAGTCTGGCCATAGTCACTCCGAGAGTCCACGTCACAGTCCCTCTAGGGAGTGAGTGTGGGTGGAATGGTGTAATATGAATATGAATGTGTATGTTGAATGGTGTATGTACAGACACTGATTGAGCATGTATACGTAAGGGTACATGTTTTAAGGGTTGGTGCATAATTATTTTGATGAAGGCTCCACACGTAAGCAACTTTGGACAAGGAAGCTAGTGCACACACACCACACACACACACACACACACACACACACACACACACACACACAGTATGTTAGCTTTGCACATCCAAAACAGAGAAGATAGGAGATGGACTGTCTCCATGGCAAGAGTGATGATAATTATACTGTTTCCATGGCGAGAGTGACGAAACACTGTTTCCATGGCAAGAGTGATGATATGTACATACCGTTTCCATGGCGAGAGTGATGATATCCAGGTGGTCCTGGTAGGCGGCCCAGTGGAGGATGGTATAGGAGGACCCGTCCTTACTGTTGACACACCCCGGCTCGTGCTGCAGACACGCCTCTATCACACTGGGTCGGGACAAAACATGACAGGCAGGTTGGTACATCATGTGTATGCTCCTGCAGCACGGTATGTGCTCACCCTCTCTATATAGCCTAATACCCAAGCCATATGTGCATACATAGGCTATGATACGACACGCAGCAGATACCAGCCTTCACAAGACTATAAAAGGCTGTTCCTCTCAAAGACGATTTTCTGTACGAAAGCTTTTGTTACACATTCTGAACCCAAACTTTAACTTGCAGTCGTCACTAGCAGTCAGCCAAAGAAGCCCATGGACCATTACTGTGTGCTGTTTAGGCCATCGTTCAATATTAGAGCTTGTCATTGGCCTAAACAGTGCAATAACATGTCCGCCCTACATGTACACTCACGGTAGGAATCCCATGCGGGCTGCATAGTGGAGTGGAGTGAGGAGGCTTAAGTTGAGCATGCAGGGGTCGGCACCAGCCGCCAAGAGAGGGTGGATGCAGGCCAGCTTCTGGCTGAAGACAGCCGCGTGGAGCGCCGTGTTCCCCGTCTCGTCCTGCAGGGAGGTGTTTACGTTGGGACTGGCCAGGAGGATCTTTAGGGACCGAGGTTTCCCGTAAGCGGCGGCAAACATGGCCGGTGTGGATCCGTCTACGGTCTGAGCGTTGACATCAGCTCCAGCATCCACCAGCATTTGTGTCGTCTCCTCACTGCCACTAGAGGGAGTGGAGTACACGCAAAAATGCATAGGTAAAATTTGTTGATCGATTTCGTACATATCTAAATTTTTTCATTCATATACTTACTGATAGACACTTGTGTGGAGTGCTCGTGTGCTCGTGTCATCCTGAAATAATTGATCACACAACACAAAAACAACAAAGGTTAGTGATCACTGAATTTTCTTCATATAGCAATTTCAGAGGATAAGTACCAGAGCACAGATTTTGTACCAGAACCAGTTGTTTCTGAGTGAACATGGTGTTGGCCAACAGGAAGTAATGTACTGTACCTGCCTATGCCTATACTAATGCATTAGCTTGCATTTACAACAGGCTATGTTATGGATGATAAAACAGCTGGTACCGGTACGTACGTACCTGCTGCTCAATCTTGGCATGGAACTCTAGCAGTATCTTCATTGGCTCTGCGAGTCCGGTCGAGGCAGCATAGTGGAGAGCGGTGCGTCCATCATTGGTGAAGTCGACCATATCTGGGTACTTGGTGAGAAACTCCCGCAGGAGGTCCACCTCGCCCAGCGACGTGGCCACGAACAGAGCCTCTCCCCGGCCATTCTTCAGCATGGTCGTCAGACCCAACTTGACTCCTTCGTCGACGTCCATCTTGGCCCACTTCATAACTATGTAGGTAGAGGAGGAGGAGGGAGAGATATTGAAGTATAGGTGCGTGGGGAGGGGAGGTATATACTAGGCACTCCAGGTTCAAAATGTAAACCATATTGTGTGCTGTAAATAGGATGTGATTTTCAAATGATGAAAACTCAGCCATTACTCATTACTTCTTCTGCAATTTTTCTCATTAAGGTGTGGATAGGGGATATCTCAGACTTTTCACAGACCATCCAGTAAGGGAGGAGGGGCAGAGTGAGTCAGTAAAGAGGCAACATAGAACCATTGACAAGGAGAGGTGTGAGACTGAAAGAACAACAGTGGCGCGCTAACAGGGGTTATCCTCTGTGGTCTCCTCCTTGTCATCGGCAGCGTGGGACAGACAGAGAGGGTTGAAGACCCAGGATTTTCCCTTCCCCATTATCAACACGTCTCCACTGGTATAGACTGTATACACTCGACCCACCTCCCCCATCATCTGGTCAACAAACACAGAGAAAACCTCTCGTCATTAATACATACGTACTCTTAGAGTGACTATGCAGCAAAGGAACAGTGGTTTGTGTTTTTTCCCCCTGTTACCAGCCACATGTGAGGTGCCCAAAAAAGTCACCAGTGCTCCTGTGTATGCAACAGTATACATGCTCCTTTAGCACAGAGGGTTTGCACTTCATTTCAAAGGGATTATGCATACATTCACACACAAGGAATGGCGCTAGCACTTTACCAAGAGAACGGCATTGCTCCAGTCCCCGTGGCTTTTCTGCAGGCTCCGAACCTTTTCCATGTCAGATGACACGCGCACCAAGTCACCCACTTTGAATTGAGGTGTGCCCACCTGAATAATTACAAACACTCATGCACCCATTACTACACATAGTGCAAATGCACGAGGACAAAAATCATGTGTTGCACGGGCAGCAAGTGTCGCAGTGCCTTTAACTTTAGCAACAACAGTTAGCTGTGACCACCAGCTCGAGGGAAAACTTGACTCAAATGTATACAGAGAGAAGGCTGAGTGCCCACCTTAACAACTGCCTCGGCACAGATATTGCACAAGAGGTTCTCGGTCGAATAGCGGACCTTCAGATCTCCACCCTCAGCAATACCCACCACCGTCCCAACCTTCCCTATAACCTGTGGAACATGAACAGCAATACAGCAGTGATATACTAGTGGGGTTCCAATCAGGGAGGGGGTGCAGAATTCCAAATCAACAAGTGTATCTGAACTTCTACGGAATTCATACACCATTTATGAGCAAATATATAAATCCTAGACTTTGTGTATATACATACCCTGATGTCACCATTGCTACATACAATGAATGCACATATGTATCTGCTGCGATGAATAGGGTTCCATGGAAACACAAACATGGGACGAACGGTACAACGTAATATGGCAGAACAAATGAATGGTGCAGATATTTTTCGACTTTTTCGACTTTTTCTGTACTGACATTGAGCATGAGGTCATTCCAGACCCCGCGTCCCTCCTGCATGGCCTGGAAGAGCTCAGGCTCCAGCTCCACTCTGACTCTGTCCCCTGTGCTCACAGCTGCTGGGTCCACCTGGGCTGGGGGAGCTCCTACAGTACACAGGGAATGGGCGAGGGAGGGGTTAATGGTATAATGGTATCGCAATGCAGCATTACATGTGGAGGTTGCTGACATATCTGTGATTTGTTGGAGGTTTACCCCAAGAGCATACGTACGTGTGGACATACACAAATTCCAAGTTTTTGACACCTAGTGGGCTTGCTTAGCTCGCCAATAACTGTACAACTCTATTACGTAGATGTATAACCAAGGAGAGGAAGGTGGTCGGGATAGTAGTAGCCTCCAGAGCTGGCATCAACACACTTGAGTTCCACCTACAATGACACACAGACACACTCGTCTCAGTACGATACACTACATATGTACATGCGTGCAGGAGTCTTTTACCTTCCCTTTATGTCCCACCATGTGGATCGTCTTCTGGCTGCTCTCCTTCCACTCCACCTCCACAAACCCCCTCTGTGATTAAACACAGTCCATACGTCCTAGTCTATTCGTGTTTATATACTCGTGACATAATCTTAACGAGGGTTAAAGAAGAGTGCATAGTTCAACGGCTTACAGAGTTATCGTCATTGTTCTTGCCACACAGTCTCACTACCTCACCAATCTCACCAGATCCTGTACCTACGTACATGTGTATGTATAATTATACCGTAAGAATGCTGATATTATATGACTCGTAATGTTTTTTAATTTATAGCCCACACGAATTATTTATAGCAATCAATAAACTCGAAACGTAGCCATAAAATACTCAAACACAATTTTCAATTACAACCAGCATTCTGATTGATACACCATCTTTCTAGAGTTCTACAAGTAATTCACGCAGGGCATTCGCAAGTCAAGAGTTCACATACTTGTGGAACTGACTGAGCACATACAGTATCATAAGCTCTCCTGTAATAATAATAGCACATTGCCAACGTCAGTGAACAACAACACGTGTAATGTAGTTGTCAGTTGAGTAATAAAACTGGCCTTCCTGTGGCTCCCAATCGCACCAAGGCACCACCTCAGCAAACTTGAACATTCCTCTGATCTCTCTTCTCTTGCACTCCCCTCGTGCAGGCATCCTCACTCGCTCCCTTCACAGAGGAAATAAATGATGGCACACCATTACATTATACACATGTACAATGCATGCCATTGTGAAGTTGAACATGTAATTCTGAAGACCTGGAAGAACCACCATGCTCACCAAAAATTGCAAACACTAATACGCGAACCTTCTGAACATCTAAAAAAAGACAACTGCACTCAGGACAACTCTTTTTTCCAAGGAAAAGAGTTCTCATGTATGTTGGATCGAACCCACGGCACACTCCACTCTAGGCGAACGCTCTACCAACTGAGCTACCAGAGCTACTCAGCAGGTATGGGTTCATATCTAAGGAAAACCTCAGCATTTGTGCTAAGGCACAGTATCCTCTCACTCGGCATGCACCGTTACAGTGAGAATGTATTGTATGTTCAATACCAGCTCACCGAGAAGTCACAAAACGATCAAACTCGTGATTGAGAACGTGTTTCCCCGTCATGTAGCACTCGGTGCAGATGCTAAACTCCATACAGCGTACACACTTCCACATGATGCCAGTGATGGGGTCCAGTCCACAGGCACAACACTCCTCACCAATGTGGACCACACCTGGACACAGTACACAGCAGTGAAGGTGGGGGAGGGCCCACATTAGTAGTACTAACTAATGGAGCTATAACAGTGACAGAAGACAACTATTGTGACTGTGTGATGGACAAGAAAACATCTATGGTATGCTATATACAGAGCCAAGTGTACAGGGCGGCAGACTCATGTAGCAAAAAGCCCACGTTTTATGATTTCAGCAAAAAAAAGCCCACCTGCAGGTCCACTGTCAAACCCTCTCAGGTCATACTTTCCGCCCAGGCCACAGCGGTAGCGACACCGGCCGCCACAGTCCCACTGCACAGTCACGACGCAGGGGGTACGCCCCACGCCCTCCGCTACAGCTACTCTTTTCTTCGCCGTCAGCCTGCCCCGGGACTTGGACCTCGGCCACGGTACCCAGGTACCCATCCCCGCCGTCTTGGTCTCTCCAGGACCAGTCAGGACCTCGCACCACTCGAGTTCCTACCAGAACCTCCATACATACTGCAAAAGACGGTGGGCATTATTTGGAATTAGTCGGGGAGAACCCAGGGGTTTCCCCTTTGCGCTGCCTCGCCGTTCTTCGTCTGTGGTATATCAAATTGGAATATAGAGCATGTTGTACAATACAAAAACCTGTCAACACCACAACTATCACACAAAGACTATCAGAGATGGAGCTCCAAAACAGCTTGCACTGGGGTCTAGGGAAAAAGAAGAAAGAAGAAAGAGTTACCAGTTTGCCTCGTACCCAGGCCGTCTGGGTTTGAGACTAATTTACGAGGCTAATACAAATATAGAGTGCTTACTTTGCAGTCCGGGCATTTTTTGGCTCTCCTGGCGCAGTTATGACAGAGTGGGGAGTGACCCACAGGATCAAACTTGACTGTTATAGGCACGTCACACAGGAAACATAGGTCTGGAGTCTCTGCGTTGTAAAAAAATACGAATTTACTAATGGCGCTGTCTTTTAACACAGCAATGGCAGTGGTTTTGGCCTATGTTACAGTCCCCTCATCAGCGAAAAATCACCATGATACACAAGAAAACAAACTTAACTCGATCGCTAACCAAGCTAGTTTTGTGCATATCATCATTATACAAAATTACTTGCACTCCCACTAATGTTTGTGTATAGCCATGTTTGTATAATTATGCATACAGATACAGACTACGAGCTGCATTACCAGCTGAGGGAAGGGCAGGGCTGGTCTGCAGCTGCGGGGGAGATATAGTCTTGGTGTTGACTCCTCCACTGGTGCCAGTGATGTCATCAGCAGCCAGAGGGTGGTTAGGTGCAGGTTGCAACTCCACCACCCTCCCCTTGTCCCCTCCCACTGGCACTGGCTGGAGGTCTGCTTTGGGGTCGGCTTGAGTTGCTACATTCTCATTCTGAGGAAAGAAAAACAACAGCCTACTTCAAACCTACACCTGCTATACTGATAATTATATAGAAGTAATGGTGAAATTTTGGTGGATAGCAATCCATGGAGGCTAATCTGCGTGATACTTATGCTAATATATAATTTCTCCCAAACTTTCAGGGAATGTGTCAGTCAGTACATAAGGCTAAATGCAATTTCCCCCACATTCTCATACCATCTGATTCTGGGGGGGTTGGTGTCAGTGGTCACCTGTGGATACCTCAGACTCCCTCTGTACCTTCCACTCCTGCAGGAAACAGACAGGACCATGTCTACATTATAATCTGTGCGGAAATGAACTGTGAAGCAGATGTAATAGGTGCCTAGTGTGCCTGTCTTTGGTTTTTGGTTCATAGAGAAAGATCTAGAATGTACGATTTATACACACACAAAATTCAAGCTGTAGCCTGCATATTCATCTCATATTCATCTGCTTCTCCATACTGAGTGAGAGTGTACTGTGCCACAGCACAGTGGTTTGAGGTTTGCCTTGTGTTGTGTTGTAGATTAAAACCCCTATATACCCGCTGAGTTGCCCTGGTAGCTCAGTTGGTGGGTTCAAATCCCACCCAGGGCAGCTCTTCTATGAATGAGCTGTCCTGGGTTTAGTTGACTTGTTTGCCTTGCCTTGCCTTTCTACCTCGTTACCAAGTTGTTGAGACATGCCTACAGTACTAAGTGTTGTTGTGCTGTTTGCCTTTGCCTTGGCCTCGTCAATGATACGTACATGCATCTCACGAAAGCCGCGATATGTCTAAACCCTATCGAGGTATTTACCCAGCGTATTTCTTTGAAAACTCGGAGACAGTGACAGCAATCTCTGGAGAGCAGGTGTCCAGAGGTGTGTCTCCACTGCCAGAAATGACACTCACGTCTGCTCCCTCTCTCACCAGGAGACACGCCACCACCACCTGCCCGGATAGCTCATCCCCGCTGGACATCTCTGACAGCAACTCCTTCACCTGTAGATACACATCAATGCATCAAGACAAGTGCAAGATAAGTGCAAAGTATGTTGTGTGGGACATAAAGGCACTGACAGTACAATTAAACACCCAAAACTCAGGGAAGACAAACCAACCCCTTATAGCTAGTACGTAATTTATGTACTCCATAGAGTCTTGACTGGTTTATGGACTGTCCAGATATCGAGTCTCTGCCGAAAAATCAAACAACTGTCTGTCATGCTGTCTGATAGTTAATGGGAATATGGCAGTATATAAAGGTTAAATCTACTAAAAACATGGGACTCAATTGCATTCTTTCATATGTTCCCTTTAATAATTCTCACTAGGCTTCACCAACCGCCACACTACATCTACATACCTGATTAACACCAAGAATACATGTAGGGCTCATGTCAGGCTCACCTTGTTCAGTTCTGGTGTGTCTTCGGAAGGGGCATCTAAGTCCTCGTTATCCAGCGCAAAGTAAAGAGGAGTACTCCCACCTTCATCAGCTATCGTAGGGTCTGCCCCGTAGCCTATCAGCAGCTCCACCAACCTACTGTGGTTCTTTAGTATGGCAGCGTGGAGAGGGGTGTGGCCTGCCTCGGCTGTCACATCCACCATGCAATCAGTCTGCATGTCACACATACAGAGAAGGAGGAGGGGGAACCAGACATGTGAGGTTGCCAAATTTTAGTCCCAGGACACTCTTTTCCCAAGAGCTGCACTTGGTGTAATTCAAACCCACACCACTCGGCAGTAAACAGGCAGAGCGATCAATCGACAAGCTGCCTTTGTCTTGTGGGATTGTTGAAGCTATGTATATAGAACCTAGACTGCAGAGTTTCGTGGGTTCAAATCCCACCCAGGGGCAGCTCTCTTCTTTTTCCTTGCAAAAAGAGATTTTTCCTGAGTGTAGTTGACCTGTTTGCTCTGCCTTTTCCATGTGACCTTGCTGTCGACTCATACATAATTATATTGGGGTAGCTCAGCAGGCAGGGTCTCAAAAATGCATAGGATTCTTTGCAAACTCGTGCAAATACACAACTAGTAGTCGTACCACATCCAGGAGAGTCTTGGCGACCTCAACCTCTCCCTCGCTGGCTGCCAGGTGGAGAGGAGTACACTGTTGCTGATCTCTCACATTCACATGCTCAGGGTGACTCTTCACCATTATCTCCACTGCCCTAACAAACATTAGGAGGTTTAAAACAGGATTTGCGACAGCACGTGAACTAGCTAGAGGTAATACAGTGGCAGATCCAGGAGGGTTCCTTGGGTTCCACGGAACCCCCCTTTTTATCGTTTTGCGCGCATGCGTCGCCGGCCTAAGCATGAGAAACAGCTGATCCTACTGGAAAAAAGTAACTATTTGGCTGTTTTGCATCAACATTCGGAGTGTGTGTGTATATGGATGTCATAACCCACGAAAGTCAAGGGACTGATTGGAGCATAAATGTGCACCAGCAAGTGAAGATTCTTTGCTCATGTAGTATGCTGTTCAAAAAGTGAGGATATGTATGGTTTTCGTGGCAGGTTGTATATTATGTATGTTATGTATGGCTTACTGCAAGAAGCCAACTTGGACAGCCAGATGTAAGGGAGTGAGAATGTTGAAGTTGATGAGTGAGGGGTCTGCACCAGCCTCCAGCAGGGCAAACAGGACCTGGTACCTCCTGCCATGGATGGCACAGTGCAGAGCTGTATCTCCATCCTTATCCTGCAACCCGACACACACCGTAAAACATTCCACGACAAAAACTGTTACAATATGGTATGCACTAGAATAGACACCAGGATCTGGTGTCAAACAACCACAGTAGTGTTTCTCTTCTCTTTGTTAGGACCATTTCTGTATACAGTAACACTCAAGGGCATAATTCGATACAAATGGTTAACCTAAAACAATTGACCGGGGTAATTAACAATACTGAAGAAAGTAGCATCACAATACTATGTCATTCTGAGATCACAATATGTAATAATCCTGAGATTATACGTATCTCATCTGTGGACCTGTTCAGAGAGTCTGGTGGCCGGCCATCTCAACAGAACACCCAGGACCTTGGTGTGCCCCTTGAGAGCCGCCATTATGAGAGGAGTCTGCTCTGACTGGGACTTTGAGTTTGGGTCGCAGCCGGCATTGAGAAGAAAACTGGCCATCTCCGGGAGCTCAGCTCTGTGCACATACATACATACATACATACATCTTAGGTCAGTGCTACGGATCGTAAATTATATGTGAATTATAGATTACGCAAGAGTTAGGTCAGAGTTAGTCTCATCATAGAGTACGGATGCTACATATGTACATACACACTGCAAAGGCTCTATAAGTCTTTGTGAGCTTTTCCGCATGATGTACACATTATACTTTTCTGAGCAGACAAATGGAACACTGACCTCAGTGCGCAGTGATGGAGTGGTTTAAAGCCAACCTCATCCTATACAACAGACGGCAAAGAGTAAAAACCATGCGATTTGATACACAAATGAAAAATTACCAGCATAAACGTACAACTAGTACTATTGTATTCACCCGGAGTAATAAAGAACAGAGAAGAACCATATCTCACCTCACTCTCAATGTTTGCTCCCATCTCCAGCAAGGCCTCCACTATGGCTGTCTTCCCAGCAGCTACTGCAAAGTGGAGCGGTGTCTTGCCTGAGAACTTGGCATTCACCTGCAGGACATTGTGGTTAATCCGTGCTTTTACTTGCCACTTAAGAAAGATACACTCCAAACTCTCGTACATTCATACGTACATCGTGCATTAAATACACTTGTCCCTCGTAATGAAAGGGGCACTCACCTCATTGGGATACTTGTCGAGGTATTCTCTGATGACGGAGAGGTTCCCGAGGAGAGCCGCGTGGTGCAGGAGCTCCGAGTCCTCCTGCTCCACTAGTACCTGGAGTCTCAGCTCCAGCAGTGGAGTCTCCTGCCCCAGGATCTCCGAACCTACATATAAACTGAACAGCTCACACTTTCACACAAAGACAGAAGGAGAATTAGGAAGAGAAGGGGAGGGCTTCTAAGGGCTTTAGTGAACAAAACACATACACAAAAGACACAACAAACTGAAACGAAGAAGATTATACTGAAAAAAGGTGCACTAGCACAAAGTGCTACAGTTCCTCCTCGTACTACACTAGCTATTGTCATTAAAAAGAGGACAAGGCAAGCAACACAACCGCACTGACACAACGAAAAGAGCTGCCCTAGGTTGGATTCTAACCCACGACAATCTGCGCTCTATAGCATGAGCTTTACAAGCATAGTATAATACCAGGGCAACTCTGCAGGTCGGGGTTCAAATCACAACACTGATCCCATAGTGAGACATGTGTTACACTTACTAGAGACTTCTTGTTCCTCTTCCTTGTCGGCTCGTCGGAGACAGAGAGGGTTAAATGTCAAGAGACGGGCCTTCATCATGACTGCCACATTCCCGTCATTATTGACCCCCTGCACTGACCCCAGGTGACCTACAATCTGCTCCATGCAGCGAGATAGATAGATTTCATTATGAAATGTATGTGCAATTAATACCGGCTTTACATGTCATACAATACAAGACATAGTTACAAACAGACATAACCTTGGAGCTCTGATACTACAGTGTTCCCCAATTGTTCACTTTTTTCAGTTCAGTTTTTACGCCGTAACTTTTTAACACATTATATATACCCCACTAAATAAACACCGTACATCCTCTATGTGGAGAGAGGGTGTGGTAAGAGCAAGGCCCACTGTGCATATGTGTACCTGCCCGTGATTCTACAATGACTACACTCTCTCACATCTGACATCTCTTCCACCCAGCCTCCATGGTTCTTCTGTAGTTTGGCAACTTCTGCAAGGTCGTCCATGACCCTCACCGCATCCCCCGCCCGGTAGCGAGGCACATCGACCTGCACAGCAATCAGTCCACATGCACGAGTATCATACATCTAATGCATTCAGTGAGCGAGCCTAATTTGTAATACCTTTTGCATGTTACTCAATGCTCATATGTACTAGGTAATGATGATGGAATGAAAAGCACTGAAGTGCAAACCCTCGGCGCATTGTGACGCGCACGCGTGAGTAAACGCATGCGCTGTATCACTAATTGATGGGCTGGGTTTAGTTCTGGCTGCTGGTCTCTAGCCATCTCGCGCAGAGTCTGACGCGGGCTAACTACACTACTAGACAGCATGCGAGAGGCGATACACGCCCTGCGTTGCATCTTCTGGTGCCTCTGAGGTCGCAGAGCACGCGGATCGATCAGACCGCGGTAAGCTGTTGCGTATTTGCATATTGGCTTTTTCGTGCTCTAGCTTTGCAAAGGAGCATTTTCAGAGAAAACCGCCTTTATTTTCTGACCTTCGTCGCCCGTTGGGTAGATGGTATCGTTTCTGGGACGAACAGATGTTCGAGAAGTGAGATGTAGAGTAACAGACAGACACACACACACACACACACACACACACAGACAGACAAACCCAACTACTGTAACCCTCGCTGCGCATGCGCGCCGAGGGTTAAATACACCAGTCAGCTAGGTGGATGCATTGCAGAAAAGGCATAGTTGTTATACATACTTGCCTTTACAACAGCTAGAGGGTTGACAATCCACTTGTTTGGTCCATACGAGAGTCTGAGGTCTCCGTTGTCTTGTATGGAGTGGACCACTCCTAGCTCTCCACGCAGCTATACACACAAAACACACAAAACACACTAACATTCAACCAATATCATCCTTGCAGCAGACCCCCCATCAAGTTACAGGGATGCATGTCTCAACAACTTGGTAACGAGGTAGAAAGGCAATTAAGGCAAGGCAAACAAGCCAACTACACCCAGGACAGCTCATTAGCTGCCCTGGGTGGGATTCGAACTCTACCAAGGGAACATGTCGTATGCTGGTAATCTATGTAGGCTACACCATGCCTCTTGTATAAAACATGCACACAAAACTACATACAACCTTTGCTTCAACTAATACGTACATATAGCCTTGTCCCCAAGCTCTCCTTCTCAGATTGATCGCCTAATAGCAGAAACTGCCATCATGCAGGTCAAAGGCATACTGTGTATATACACAGGGTGGATAAAGGGACAACACAGGCTTATGAGGAGGAACAGTGCACAGTATACCCCAGCCATGGCAGAGTTCCATCCTCCGTGGTTCTGCTGCAACATCTCAAATATCTCTGCATCCAGCTCCACACACACGTAGTCAGAGCTGGCAAATTCAGATCTGTCCATAGGAACATGAGGAGCCCCTGAAATATACGGCAATAATCCCTCGATATCTCAAATACAAAACAACGCAACAAATAAGTTGTACCTAAGACTTGTAAATGCTCAGGATAGTACTTTCCACCTTTGGCTGCAGTCACACACTTCAGGTCCACCTGTGTATCGATCAAAATACAGCACATTTCCTGGCAAAACTTTTTAAATTAAGGTGCTTTTTCTTTGGCACATTGGAATCCAGCACTTTTTCATATGTAGAGTTAGGTGGGATGTTATGCTCTCACTTGATAATAGGCAGAGTGCATTAGAGTACAATAGGTGCATGTCTCTGTTGGTTTCAAGTTTGATTGAGCTCAAGTGTAGCTGCTACTGACCCACGGCCGTCACTAGCTCACCATTCCCTGACAGCCGACTCTGTAACTCTTCCCCCCCTCTTCTGGCCACTCCACCTCCACCGACCCTCTCTGATTGAGATATCATCAAACCAGTTAGGGACTATAACGCAGTGAAAACACCGCAATATCTTCCTTACGTAATGTTTCTCCTCCCAGCAAGTAATGGATGTGACTTTACCCACATTTCCACTGCCACCTGCACAGAGGACACAGTGAGAGGTTTGTTGCCGAAAACGTTTAGTAATACAGGCTAACAGCTAGCTCTCCTGTCTGCGATGGGTTTATTGTATAATACTTTCCCTCTTTCTGTTGGAAATCACAGGGGGTGGTACGTCGTAATTCACTGACCGTCCTGCTGACCCCAGCTCCAGTCATGTCCCCTCACCACCTCAGCCTCAGGGAAGATACCCCTGCTCTCTACCGACCTGGCCCCACGTCTGCACGACATCATACTCCTGCATGGATGGACCAGTGGTACGTTGACCTTTCACCAAACCACAGGTGATTATTGGGAGTCCCCAACATACGTACATTAGCTAGAGCATCTTCCCAACCTTGCAGGCATACAGGTCTCAGTAGATAAAAAGAGGTACTGTAGACAATTTGGTGTCAAAATAAAATGCTAAATTTAGTAAGGGCTAAGTCATCGTATACAAGTTCTGCTTGCTTGCCTGCTCCAAGCACGTGCTCGCTCAATATAATGAGCAGGCGGTTGAGAAACCATAGAAATGCAGTAGAAGTAGCGAATGGACTCGATGACATGCAAAAGAGCCCATACCTCAGCTGTCCAGTGTCGTATCTGACAAACTTGTGGCTTTCGCTGTGCTGGTTGCTCATGTAGCAGGAGAAACAGAGGTCAAAGTCGTAGCACTGGCTGCACTTCCATCTGGTCCCCACCAATGGACTGGCACGACAGCCATCACATGTCACCGACTTACTGAGCACTCCTGAAAATCAACAAAGTTGTACAAAATCAATCAAACAATCAATGTACAGGTATAAAAAAACACACCTACATAAAGCAATCAGAATATTTTTTGCAAGCATGTAGCTATGCGTCCATCTACCATTTGGAAAGCAACAGTACCTAGCTATGTATGTAGCTATACCATAGATAATATAGACGCGCGAGACCGATATGAGACTTGCCTGCTTGTGCTGTGTCGAAGATTCTCAGCTCGTACTTGCCGTCCTCGCCACACTTGTAGATACCCCTGTGGCCCATGTCCCACTGAACCGTGGCTCTGTGTACCTCGCCAGTGTCTGGGTTGGCCGATGCTACCTCATCCACTTCCCGAGCAACTCCCTCTCCATCAGTTGTCAAGACAGGACCCGAGGCTTCCCCGGCGTCTGAGCGACGGTGGACCTGGACCACAGTCCCCACGTGACCCTCACCACCGTCCTCCTCTCCGTGTTTCCAGTCAGGACCCCTCACCACTCGCAGATCCTCTGCTGGCTCCATCCTACTGTTTTGGTGGCTGCTTGCGAAGGGGGTTTCCCATGGGATTCCCCCATTTGCTCGATGATGACGTAACTTGTTTCTGATCGATCGACGACTGAACACGGTGAAGTGCCCAAGTGGTGATGGAGCCTGCTCTTGGCTTGAGAGTAGTCCGTGGTCCAGACTGGGAGTGGGGAGACCAAGATGGCGGCGAGGGTTTCGTGGGGACGGTGGCTGGACTGGAAGAAGGTGGAGGAGGAGTGATAGTCCAGTGGGACATGGGACAGAGGTGTAGGTACCGCTGTGGCAGAGACAACAAGTTCGACCTCAGAGTCCTGGAGGACGGACCTGTTGCCAGTGCGTAAAAACACAAACCTAAGCTGTAGAGTAACATATTATTATTATGTTAGCTGTTTTTCAGCGGTTGAGTGCCTCATGTGTTTTGTCACGAGGAGTTTGTGTCTTCCAGGATCTGCAGACATTCAGGACACCGGGAGTGTTAGCTGTGAGTGGTGTGGGAAGGAAGGTCTGGTGTGGTGTGTCTGGAGATGTACACGCTGTCTGGACTACTACCTGTGCAACCAGTGCTACCACAATGACAGACACAGCATATGGCATCCGTTCTTTAGAATACCATGCAGCAATAAGCCAAGGATTAGGTGAGTAGATACATGTAGCCTATGTGTATAATATAGTTCATCAGAATTTTTTGTTCTTGTGAATATCCACTGTCCTTGAATAAATATCGTGAATGGCCAAGCCTATGTATTTCAACAAAATTAGCTTTCGCCATGGTTTTGGTCTGTCTGTTGCCAGGTTTTCTGCTTCCACATGCAATAAGCCGGCAGTATTCGTACATTACTATTCCATACTCCAATCTTAGTCAAAGTATTAAGGATGCTATGCTTTCCTCATTTTCCACCAGTATCCCTACAAAAAGTGCAAAATCATTGACACCCTTATTAGAGGGTGAGGGTGGATTGGCAAAGGGACAATGAAAAGCACTAAAGTGCAAACCCTCGGCGAAGTAGCTCGCAGAGAGTCTGACACGGGCTAGCTACAGTAGTAGATAGCACGCGAGAGTCGATACACGCCATTCGTTGTGACTTCTTGTGCCTTCAAGATAGACAGAGCAAGCGGACCAGGTCGAGGTAAGCCTGTGCTAAATATAAGCGCATGCGCATTATCCGCCAGGGATAAAATGGCGACTACCGGCATTAGCCATACAATGCTGGAAGCGCTCTAGCTTTGCAACGGAGCATTTTCAGAGAAAACCCCACATATTTTCTGACCTTCATTGCCCGTTAAGTAGATCGTATCCTTTGTGAGACGAACAAACACTCGAGAAGTGAGATTGAGAGTAACAGACACACACACACACAAACCCAACTACAGTAACCCTCGCTGCGCATGCGCGCCGAGGGTTAACTACCAATAGAGGTGAAAGAGGAGTTGGTGAAGCTAGATAGGGAGAGGTACAGAAAGAAAGTGTACAATACTATTCCATACTCCACCTATCATCCAACATATATGAATGGTTGGCTTGTCTCTTCTTCAACCGGTGTTCCTACAAAAAAAATGCAAAATCGTTGACACCCTTATTAGAGGTTGGTTAGCAAAGGGACAGCGAAGTCAAGGAGAAAAGAGGGATTGGTTAGGAAGGTGCAGGTGCAGAAAGACTGACTATGTTATTCCATACTCCAAATATTGTCAAATATTATGTGCAGTTGGCTTGTCTCTTCTTCCACCGGTGTACCTACAAAAAATGCAAAATCAATGACACCCTTATTAGAGGTTGAGGGTGGGAGACAGCAAAAATGAGGTGAAATAGGGATTGGTACAGCTAAATAAGGATAACTGCAATAAGACAGAGTATGTTACTATTCCATACTCCAACGATAGTCAAATATTATGTGTAGTTAGCTTGTCTCTTCTTCAACCGGTGTACCTACATAAAATGCAATATCGTTGACACCCTTATTGGAGGGTGCCGTGCATAATAGATATGCACACACGTCTCTAGTGCGCCAAAGGGTTTACACACATTTTTCACACAAATACTGCTGTATACTCATTGGTCTGTACCACAGGCGGAGGGTGAGTAGCAGGCAGGAGGCGGAGAGAGTGGCAGTGAGCGGTATCTTTGCCGGAGCTCGTGTGGTCAGAGGCGCTGACTGGAGATGGGGAGACCAGGATGGTAAGACTCTCTCTCTCACACCACACACACACACACACACACACACGTGTTGAATGGTTTAGTGAGCTCTGCCCAACGCCTTTAGAAGTTGCCCCACTATGTTTTCTTGGATCATGCCCATCTCACTGATACCTGTGACATCATTTGTACTCACATTTTGTGATTCTGTTCCAAGATACTGTGTGCACAGGTACAGAATGGTGGGAAACTTTTGAGGGAGAATTGACTCACGAAATTCTCCTTTGAATGTTTTCCACCGTCAAATTCACTCTGGTTTTCTCAGGTGGCATGAGTGGTATAGTACTGGCTGTCAGAGGTTGGCAGAATGAGACCAAAGTGAGTCATGCATGAGTTTCGTCAACTACATACAGTATTATATGCACCACCAGCACTCCGTAATTTAGTCCCTATGCATAGTCACGTGTATGGAAATGATTGTAATGTCATTACTGAATTCCATTTACATTAGCTAGCAAGACAGCTCTATATATACTTGTGCTATATAAGACTCTTGTCGTGTACGTTGCGGAATTACTGGCAGCTATTAAATGTGCCTCGTGGTTTGATGGTAGGTATTATTGTGCATTATTGTTTGGAAAATGACCGGTGAATGTTATTTCTGTGGTGTGATGTTGCAGGGAAGTGTCGTGGAAGTCCAGTGGGAAGGCAACCATCTCAAGAACGTGTACAGATTAGGACACAAAGGAAGGGTCTGTATTTTGGATATCGTTTGGCGAAGTGTTCGTGTTTTAGCGGGGCTTATTAGTCGAGCAAAGCAGGCACACATAGTTGTATGAATCGTGTGACTTTTCTGCCACATGAGGATGTCTGAATATCATATGGAGAGTTTAAGGACGCACTACATGTACTAAGACTTTATTTTTGCATTCACTTACAGAATTCTGTTGCAATGTTGTTCCACAGGTGGATCTGAAGTGCCTGGTGCCCGGAGAAGGAGGCTGGTATTGTCCAGAACACCTCTCTATACTAGGTTCATTCTCATCTCACCGCGTTTAATTTTCAGTCCTCTCAAGCCTTGTTCCCTGGCCTTTTCCCTGCGTTATGAAAAGCCAGAGTACGTTAGGGTAGCTGTCAAGTATATACGCTAGGAATGAGAGTAGGGAGTGCTGTAATGAACACATTTTTGGTGGCGTAAATAGTTTTTAGAGGCAGGACTTCTTTTTGCGTTTGGTTCAATAGTTTCCTGTTGTACTTACAGTCCATGCATTGCCACTGTTCTGCAGGTGGGAATAAGGAGGAGGAGGAGGAGGGAGAGTTTGAGTTTGCAGCTGGAGACTCGGTCAGAGTTGATCTTGATCTGGACTCTGCCAAACTGCTCCAGGAGGGCCACGGAGGTTGGATCGACACCATGAGTGAAGTGAGCTAACACCAATTACAATGTATGATGTATGGAAAACCACTCTGAAAATGGGAGCAACTGGACAATGTTAAGTTACCTATGAATTTGGAAAACAGACACCTCACAACTATTGTGTAGTAATAAGCCTTCACGGCATGAAATTCTATGTTTTTAGCACACTAGCCACCACAGAACACAGAAAATTTTGTCTCGGAACGGCAATATGTTGGTGAAACTACAAAATTATCATAGGAATGGGGTACAGGGTGTACATGGGGTTACATCATAAAGTAATTCCTGTTTTGTGCAGTGTCTGCGTGATGTGGGTGTGGTCGTGACGGTTTGCAAAAGTGGGGATGTGGAGGTTCGCTATGTCAACAACTCTGTCTACACTATAAACCCAATCATCCTCGTCAAGGTAGGGTGCCCCCCTAAGTCGTCTCTAGCCAACGTTGCCATCCAGACTATAATAATTATTACTATAGAAATTTTGGAATGGTTTGTGCAGTAGGCATGAACTGAAACCGTCTGTTGAGTCAAACCTTACACTCCTTACCTTACTTATTTGCTTGCTAGATTATGATGGAAAGGCAATCGGTTGAGCTTTAGTATTATCTGTATACTTGCAATTTTGGGTTGCTATTTTGCCATTTGCAATGTGGCCCAATGCTTGTTCGTTGATGTGCAGGTGGATATTCCATTCCATGTTACTGGTACGGCAGTCCGGGTGCTGGATGACATGATGAAAGTACACCAGCTACAGACTGTGGGGCCAGGCTGGAATGATGACATCGTACTGGTGGGTGGTGGTGTATGTGTCTATGTAGCCTCACATTTGTTAACTTACTGAGTACCATAGTATGTTTAACCTGGATGTATTAGAACATGACCATTCAGTGAAGCCTGCCTGTGCATGTGCAATGCATTCCCTGGCGCTCCCTGGAGTGTTGCAATGGAAGTAGGAGACATACCGTCTGCCAATATGCAGCCTTTCTACCCCATTTAAAGCTTTGGTGGTCCTTCCTCTCTGAAAGTTGCACAGTAGATGTACAGCAATCCAACCCACTCTCTACTATCATGGGTATTGGGACCAATATAATGTTTACGTATACATATACACATGCATATGTGTTGTGACCCACCCCCAAATATAGTTATACCTATCTGTTGTAGACTCTTGGTGTGGTGGGTCTGGTGACGAAGAGAAGTCCAAGTGGAGAGGTCCAAGCTACAGTCAATGGCCAGCGATGGCTCTACCACCCCCAGAGTCTACAGCCTGTTCCCAATACTCTCTACTCACCCACTCCAGGTCAGCCACTGCATATGTAGTGGCACTATTTTTAACCCTCGGCGCGCATGCGCAGCGAGGGTTACAGTAGTTGGGTTTGTCTGTCTGTCTGTCTGTCTGTTTGTCTGTTACTCTCAATCTCACTTCTCGGGTGTCTGTTCGTCCCAGAAACGATACCATCTACCCAACGGGCGACGAAGGTCAGAAAATATGTGGGGTTTTCTCTGAAAATGCTCCGTTGCAGAGCTAGAGCGCTTCCACCATTGTACGGCTAATGCGTAGTCGGCCATTTTTATCGCTGCGGAAAATGCGCATGCGCTTATATCCTCGACCGGGTCCGCTTGCTCTGTGTGTATCTTGAAGGCACAAGAAGTCACAACGAAGGGCGTGTATCGACTCTCGCATGCTATCTACTACTGTAGCTAGCCCGTGTCAGACTCTCTGCGAGCTACTAGCGGGAGACCACGAGTAAACGCATACTAATAGCAGCCCAGCCCATCAATTAGCGGTACCGCATCCCCAGTTCGCCGAAGGTTTGCACTTTAGTGCTTTTCATTGACAGATTGGCACTTTTAACAGTGAAGCATTTCACCTAGGTTGTGTATTCCTAAATGGCGCTTATTGAAAATGGGTCTGATGTACGTATGTATAAAGAGTGGTAGTTTTGAGGCACTGTCAAAGACATTCTTATGTACATATAATTTGCGTAGGTGAGGGTTCATGAGGATACTATGCACACACCAAAAATTGGTAATAGACATAATTATAAGGGGAATCCAAGAGATGCTTCTTACACCTGCCTACAAAACCACTGGCCATGCAGAAAAAAAGATAAATGAATGTTATACACCATTTCAACTTCATCCACACAAATTAAAACTCATAAATTCTAAAGTTGAAAAAAAGCCACCCTACATCTCTCCAGACAGACGTCTATGGACGCAGTGCAATGCCAAACTGTACGCTGTCCTTCGAGATGTATGTGGGTCAATGGTAGATTTGTGGGTAAGGGGAGGAACCAGAGCTGTTCCCAGCCAATGCTCTGGACCACCTGACAGTTTCAGTGCAGGTCCGGGATTCGAACCGGGCACCTTATGTGTCAGTCCCCACGTCTCTAACCACTTAGCCACTTGGGCTGGCCACGAGAGGTGATGAAAAAACGTTCCTCTTATATCAACACTCATATTACACCATTATTGAAAAAATTGACCCACACCCGGGATCGAACCATCGACCTCACGTTTCAGTCTGCGAATGCTTATCCACCAGACCACACCTGATACTTGGGAGGGGCAAGTGGCAAATACAATGTATAGCCACTAAAGTGCAAACCCTCCAACCACATATATACCATCGCTGCGCATGCTCGCCGAGGGTTAATGAACACCCCATAATTGTGCATGTAATTGAGCCACTGAAGTATTGGCACCTCACTATAAATATATGTAGCTATCCCATTGGCATGTCTTACCTCGTTTCAGATGAGGCAGATTTGGACAAGGTAGCTCTGCTGAAGGTACTGACTATAATGAAGTCAGGAGACCCAAAGGATGCTATCTGGTACCTGTCAGCCACTGGTGATGTACACACACTCCAGACCTATCTACAGAGGTACCCTGACGAGGTCAGCACCATAATAATTATTATAGCTTGTGTATAACAACGGTGTTTTTATGGGTGTATAGTAGAGAGCATTACTAAATGAATGGTGATATTGAGCGAGCGTGATAATTGTTAGTTCATGCATTTTGTCAGTGTCTGGGCTGATATGAAACCAAATTGTTGGGGAGTTGGTAGTTTGCTGACCCGTTCACAGGGGTGTGCATTATATAGGGTATGAGAATGGCGATGCCATGGTTACTCTTTTCTGCCCGCTGTTCTCTGTGCAGATCAACAGGAAGATTCGTGGGAAGACAGCTGTCCATGTGGCATGTACAGAGGGGTACATTGGCTGCCTCAGATGTCTTCTGTTCTACCACCCGGACCTCGAGATTATGGTCAGCTACATGTACTATCTGTGCTACTGTAGCACACGTGCTCATTAACTAATGCAGCGTGGAGAAATGTATTTTTATTTGGCAGACTATTACTTGCACTAGGTTTAATAGAGCTCTATAGTATATCTTCTCTTGTAGGAGGAGGGGACTGGCCTAAGACCAATACATGTCTGTGCCTACAGGTAAGTCTGCATCTCAATTGTTAATGGAATATGGGAAATATGCTTGGATTATAACCCTGGTAGAGTTTAAAAATTTCCCTGTATTAACTCTGTCCACCAACTGGTGGTTGCAGTAACTTTGCCGCGGCAGCTCATCTCCTCCTGGAGTATGGGGCGGACATTAACTCCAAGGATGCAAGAGAAAACACGGCGGCCATGGCAGCTGGAGCCCTAGGCCACTACGAGGTCCTGCGGGTCCTCCTTGAACACCGTCTACTCAACATACATGCTGGGGTAAGGTCGCTAGGCTCTAAGAGTACTGTGCTTCAGGCTGTGTGTTTATCACCCAGGATCGCATTGGGAGCACGGCTTTGCACTGTGCTGTCATAGCCAAGAGGGATATGGCTGTCAAATTGCTGCTCGAGGCAGGGGCTGACCCATCCATCCCCAACTACACTGCCTCCACTCCACTGCACGATGCTGCTGCCATGGGCTACCTCGCGTAAGTGTAGTTATGTGCACTATGAACGATACTTATTGGAAGTAAGTGCGTTATACGTACATACGTAGTGTCTACCATAGCCCGGTGCAATCATTAAAGAGCAGTGTCTAATGTGTGTTCGTATACCGTGATGATTTGATGAAGATGGGTATGTATAATTATATGTATGTATGTATGTATGTATGTATGTATGTATGTATGTATGCAGGAGTGTGGAGCGAATGGTGGCCTACTTCCCACAGCTCATCAACCTGGAGAAGTGTGACGATGGTCACATCCCACTCCACTCTGCAGTCCTCTACAACAAGCTGGACGTGGCTCACTTCCTGCTCTCCCAGGTCTAACATAACTTTCTTACCTTTTCATGCATGGTGCTAGCAGTTCATTGTGCATAAATTTCACACTTATGTTCTATGTATTTAAGACAGTATCTGTGATAAGATTCTGCGTGTCCTTGTCTATATTATGTAGCCCTCATGCAGGATAGAGAGCAGGTCATCAGACAAAGGCTACACGCCCCTCCACCTGGCTGTCAGCGAAGGCCACACTGCTCTGGTAGAGCTCCTGGTTGGCCACGGAGCCAATGTGAACGCCTCGCTGGAGGATGGGAACACACCTCTGCACATGGTCCTCAGCCAGAGGAAGATGAAGCCTCTCTCCAGCAATACTCCTCATCTCAGACAAGTTAGTCAGTCGGAAAGGAGCCCACTTTTAGGTAGAACTTTTTGTGCGTAGCGCAGTTGTTTGAGGTTGTGTTGTGTTGTAATCGTGTTGAAGATTTGAACCCCTACCAGCTGAGTTGCCCTGATAGCTCAGTTGTAGAGACAGCAGAGAGTGTCTTGGGTTCAAATGCCACCCAGGGCAGCTCTGAATAAAGTATTGTCCTTGGTATCGTTGATATGTGCTTACCTTAATTAATGCTTAATGCTAAATAATGCTCCAACCAGGAGCTCTTACCTTAATTAATGCTCTTTTCATGCTTTCATACTTTTCTTAGGTATAATAAGAAGCAGTGAAACTTATGCACTTGTCTGTCAGTATCTGAACCTGTACATTGTACACTGCTCATTTGCCATTGTCCAGATGGATGAATCTCTGGTGGCTGGATATGAGCATGGGACGTGGATTTGAGCCCTACTTCCTCGTGGCTTGCATGCTGGTGCAGGAGGGGGCAGACCCTCTCGTTAAGAACAGATTGGGAGAGCCTCCGCTGCAGAAGTGCCGCTCTGACGTTGCCCCTGTCATCAGGCTGTTTGCACAGAAACGAGGGTGAGTGGAGTTACAGTTGATGGACTAGAAAAGTGATTTGGTTTTAACACGCCACGTACAGTGGCTGACAACATTTCATTTCTGGTATTTTTTTTTATACATGCAGAGCTTATCGCGGCAGTTTACAGTCAAAAATGTCAACTATTCCAACAAACGTAAAGGTATTATACATTCTCTCAAGTATTACAGTCAACCATAGACTGTGGTGTATGGTATATAACAGAGGAGAACTAGTGTACCAGCAGAGGCCACTAGTGATCAAGCGGCTCAAGAGGTTCTGGCAGGATTCCCCAAAAACCTCAAAGCGGACACCAAGCCAGCGGTGGGTGATGCAGCAACGCCCTCTGGACTGGGGACTGGGACACCTGAGACTCAGACTTGTACCCCTGCTGCTGATGTTGACAGTGAGAGTGAGAGAGGGAGAGGAGGGGGAGGGGAGGGAGGAGAAGGGGGGAGGGTTAGTGAGAGTCTCTCAGACAACTCCCAGTCTGCTGCTACACCTGGTCCTCCAGCCTCTCGCCAAGCTGCTACACCTGGCCCTCCAGCCTCTCGCCAAGCTGCTACACCTGGTCCTTCAGCATCTCGCCAAGCTGCTACACCTGGCCCTCCAGCCTCTCGCCAAGGTATATAGGTCCAACTGATAGTCATGAGCAAGGGATGACATGATAGCACACTTATGGGCTCAGAAAGGACAATATATAAACTGCGGCAAAAGCACCAACAAACTCCATACACTATCGTGTATAGTATGTCTTGTTTTCGGCAATAGAGGATGATACTATTTAGCTTTGTGCGTTGCCTCTGAACTAACACCGCACCTTTGTAAGGTGTTTTTCTATGAAACCAACCCCTGCAATGATTACAGTAGGAATAAGGAATGTGCATCCATGGCACTTCTTAATTGCTTGTTTGCTGTGGGTGCAATATATAGTACGTACATGAAATTACCTTTTTTGGCAGATTCGGACGATGGTCTCTGCTGTTTGTGTGACAAGGCAATCAGTACTAAGCTTGTTCCGTGTGGACACGCTGTCATGTGTGGGGATTGTGTAGGCCGTGCCAAGAGATGTCCCAACTGTTGTGTAAGTTCATGTTGGTTTTCAACATGAGACTATGTGCCGTTTTATTCCTCCAGGTAAAAATAGAAGGATCCACACCTTTTTCTTAATCATTTTATTTTTTCACCGGCTGGCAAAGGTTTTGTGATGTCATGTGGGCCTTTGCTGCCTGTAAACAAACCGCAATTTATGGAGTGGAGAAGAACACGTAGATCTGCGCACGCGCACACGAGCGCGAATAGTGGGTGGGGCTGTGCGGGGATATTTTGGGGGTTTCCCCACTCCTGGGAAAACAACACAGTGCGAATAAGATAATGGTGGAGGCAGCTCTGGGTCAGCGAGTAGTCCGTGGTCCAGACTGGGAATGGGGAGACCAAGATGGCGGCGAGGGCTTCGTGGGGACGGTGGCTGGACTGGAGGAAGGTGGAGGAGGAGTGATAGTCCAGTGGGACATGGGACAGAGGTGTAGGTACCGCTGTGGCAGAGACAACAAGTTCGACCTCAGAGTCCTGGACGACGGACCTAGCGGAAGTCAGTGCAGCATCACCGATAGTTACACGCTGCATGCTACGTCAACTATATACAGGCTGCAGGGAATTCACCTCACTGAGCTGTGAGTGGTGTGGGAAGGAAGATCTGGTGTGGTGTGTCTGGAGGTGCACATGCTGTCTGGACTACTACCTGTGCAACCAGTGCTACCACAACGACAGACACAGCATGTGGCATCCTTTCTTTAGACTAGACAACCCGGACAATAAGAGGAATAGGTTTGAACAATGCATGAAGCATGTCAGTACAGAGCTAAAGAGTGTGTTGGAATGGGGTGAATAGTAGCTAACCCCTTCCAACATGGTACTTTTCAAAAGGGTATGTAGTTAGGAACCGGTAGTAGGAAGTAGAAACGAAAGCACTTTGCTCTGTATAGGGTGAGGCAGAGCAGTAGGAGAGACAGCAGGAAGGTGGTTTTGAGAGGTGCTTTCCCTGGATCGCATGTGGTTCGAGGGACAGACTGGAAATGGGGAAACCAAGATGGTACATAGATATGGACCACAGCAATTCTGCTTCACTGTTCCCACTATGTCGTCACTACCTCAACTGTAGGTGGAGCTGGGACAAGAGGAAAGGTTATTGCAGTAAAGGACTGGCAGAAATTTTCACTGGTGCGTGGGTGTAGTAATGACTTCATTCCTTGTAATAAGCTCTCCTTCAACTGTCAGAGAAGTGTGGCACAGGTGCAGTGGGAGAATTCAACGAAGGGCAACGTATACAGGCTTGGCCACAAGGGAAAGGTAAAGGAGGTTAGCTAACTGACCTGAGACTAATGTATAAGGACAACGTATTTTATGCAAGCCATGCTTGTTTAACTATGCTACAAATGACTGTGTGTACTTTGTCTTATAGGTTGACTTAAAATGTGTCGAATCGACTGCAGGAGGTTACTGTTATATCCACCACCTCCCTGTGATGGGTAAACTCAAACCAGGACCTTGTCAAAGAGAAAAAAATATCTGTAAAACTCTGACAGGTGTGATGTATGTGGGTCCACTAGATCATCAACAGTTGTCAGCTGGTGACGTGGTGAAGATTGAGCTCGAAACGGAAGTCCTCAAGCTAATGCAGGCTGATCACGGAGGCTGGAACGATGCTATGGCAACTGTATGCCAGCTAAGATATACATACACAGCTATCAAGTGCTTTATTGTGTCTAACACTATATACCACGTGATAATAGTGCAAGTCTGCATGTCATAGTGCAGAAGAAATTATCTGTGTAAAGCTTTGCTGGATTGTTGCTTCTCAGGTAAGAGGGCTGACTGGTGTGGTGAGCTACATACACTGTGATAGAGACCCTGAAGTGAGGTACAACACCAACCACATCTTCAAGTTCAACGTCGATGCTGTCTCCAAGGTATGTATCGTGATTACTAGCTTCTCTGGATCACCCTTCGCAACTGATGACCAAAATATCTCGCCGCTGTCTGTAGGCGGAGGGTGAGGAGGTGTTTTTCATAGGAGATGTGGTGAGAGTGGTTGAGGACATGACCGTGGTTCATGAGCAGCAGAAAGACGGACCAGGATGGGTGGACGACCTTGCTCTGGTCAGCATTCTTACAACAGACCACACAATTATAATAGTGGAACACCACTGCGTTAGCTACATTCTTTCATTTCACGGTTTTAAATGCCACACAAACACCTTTGTTAGTAACTACTTTCAGTTATGCCATTTTAATGGCACAGACAACACGTCTTGTTCACTGCACACACCCATTTGGCTGGTTTATCAGAATTAGTGTAGATGCTGTTGTTTTCGGCAGACCCTGGGCCAGGTGGGTGTGGTGACCAAACTGACTGTTCTGGGCCACCTGCAAGTGAGAGTCAACGGCAGGAGATGGGTGTACGACCGTCGCTGTCTCATCAGAGTAACTACAGACCTTCTTCCTCAAAACTACGGTATATTATATGAATATTGGTGGATGAGTTTGTGGGTGAACCAATAACAAAACCATCAATGAAGTTATGAGTAAACTCATTGTGCTACGGGTATTTGGAAATCCGAAGCAACATGACACCAGTGACAGTGTCACTTACATGTTTGTAAACCCAGTGTTTGATTCTACAAGTCCAATGAGAAACGAAGTATATACAAACAGTGTTTGTATTCTCCCAACAGATGAGGAAGATGTGAACCTGACTGCAAGGTCGCAGTTGCTTGTCGGGATGATCTTACCTGATGTTCTCGTCCCTGCTGCGGCTGCTGGGGATACCAACACTGTCCGGATGTGCCTACAACATCACCCTGATCAAGTCAGAGTCCTTCTTTATCTCAAACACACTGTAGTAACACGACTGTTGGATAATCTATCATCATTTCCGGATAAGTTTTTTACTGCACACGAATAATCTCACTTACGTCTGCAGTGGGTTCTGTGCTTGCTGCTACCGAGAACCCACACTCACAAGTTACGACATAGACTCTTTGCCCTTCCCTGTGTGTGTGTGTTTGTGTGTACTGCAGGTGAACAGATTGGTGGATGGCCGGGCTGCTATACACGAGGCATGCAAGGAGGGCTACACATCAGTTCTCGAAATACTTCTCGAGTATGCCCCTGACTTAGAACTTATGGTCTGTATAATTATCAACTGGAGAAATATTTTCTAACTCACTGACTGCTATACACACAGGACTGCAATGGGATACGACCTGTACAAGCATGTGCATACAGGTATTAGTCTCCTACTTTGTAAACTCCTGAATATGTGTCATAGAACGCAACGCCATCATTGCAGCAATAGTGGTACGGCGATGAGTCTGTTGCTGGAGGCTGGAGCTGATGTCAACAGCAAGGGAGGTGGGGAGAACACAGCACTGATGGTAGCGGCCGCTCTGGGCCACACCTCTGCCCTCTCTGTCCTCTTGGCGTACCCTCTCCTCAACATCCATGCCGGAGTGGGTCACTTCTAAAACTTAATACGGCACAAACTTTACCAAGTCTTGCCTCTTGTGTATAGGGTCCTTTTGGGAACACTGCCCTACAGTGTGCTGTTGTTGCAAGGAGAAGTAACACGGTCAGATTGCTCCTGGAAGCAGGGGCTGACCCCTCAATAACAGACTACACTGCTACATCTCCGTTCCATCAGGCAGTTGCCACTGGCCACTACCAGTATGCATTATAACATCATCCTGTGTAACAAAGTCAGTGTGCATCCTCTGACAGGATAGTGGAGAAGATACTAATGTACTTTCCCCAGCATATCAACCTTCAGAAGGAAGATGATGGTTACTCCCTGATCCACATGGCAACAGCCAATGGCAGGCACGAAGTACTGGAACTGCTATTGCAACAGGTCAGCCTCCCATTCACCTAACTTCTGAACTTTGTATCAGGGAAATATCACTTTAGGACTCATGTAAGATCAACGCCAAGGCATCAGGTGACCTCACGGCTCTGCTAATAGCAGCTCACGAGGGCCATGCTCCAGCAGTTGAGCTACTGGCGGGCTATGGAGCTGACCTCAACTGTGCAGCAGAGGGTGGAAACACAGCACTCCACCTCATCCTGGTCAGGAAGACCATGAAATCTCTGGATCACAACTCTCCTTACACTCTACAGGTGATTGTCAGATATATTTTGGTAGAACAGCATCTGAACACTGTGAAGTCAAGGGGGTTAACATGGTAGCTAGATTTAACTCAACATAGAAAAGTTACACTGTGTTATGCACACACAGCGGTTACATCTACAGAGCTGTTGTGAAAGTAGGCAATACTTGTGGTGCAAACGCTGCAGGTTGAGAAGAAGTTGAAAGCTTCATTTGGGGAGAAGGACTATGCCAGCTATACTGTAGTGGCGTGCATGCTGATCCTAGAGGGAGCTGATCTGTACCAAAAGAACATGATTGGTGACAGTCCAATGGCTGTATGTCCTCCAGACAGTGCAGACATTCTGCGACATGTCATAGAAAAGTGTGGGTTAGTAACTTTCTGACCGTTAAAAAATTACACTTTAATTTTTGTGCTTCTGCAAGGCGCGGTACATTTCACGGCAGCCTGGTCAAGTCTTCAGTCCCTCTTCCAAAGTTGAACAAGGCATGTACACTGATATCACTCTGTTTTGAAGGAGACCTGAACTCAATATCTTCTGCAGAAGACAGTGCTGGCTACTGCAGATGTAGGTAGCGGAGAGACTAAGAAGGCAGGGCCAGCTAAAGACCTACAGAAGCCCAATAATCAATCTCAGACTGTAGTGAAAGCTCATGAGCTTTCTTCTGTGCCTGATGTCCACGACTATGAAAACAAACCAGCAGAAAAAGGCAAGTCGGATTATCATCTGTCTATCAGAGTTTATGGGAAAATTACGATGAATTTCTGTTCGCTTCAGCTACAAAAGCACGAGCCACCATAGACCCAGCTTCAAAGGAAGCAAGTGGTGAAAATGTGTGCTGTCTGTGTGATGAGGAGATTAATGTGAAACTCCAACCATGTGGACACGCTGTAATGTGTTTCAAGTGCTCTCACATAGCCAAGAGATGCCCCATTTGCACTGTTAGTGGAGTTGTTCCCAGTTTGTTAATGTGTATTATAGAGATGGTGTCTTTTTGCAGGTTCCAATAACAAGCAGAGCTAAAATCACTTGAGATTTTGTGATCGTATGTCAGTGTGTTTCCGGTGTATCATTCATGACTCTTTCTGAAATAACCGGACAAACCCAATTTCCGATCCTTTTCAGCATTTGGCTGCGCGGAGCATCCGTTTTCAATGCGGATATAATACGTGTCCGCGAAAGTCCCCCGAGTCCGCAGATGGTCTCCGCAGCGTCGTTTTAGGTTTCCACAGGCTTGAGAACCGGGCTTCGTAGGTTTCCACTTCCAAATAGGCGAATCTGGCGCTCTCTCGGCGGCCTGGGCTGTTTATAAAAGCCGAATTATGGCAGGAACCGCCGAAATAATCTCTGTAGTCTTGCAAACTGCACATAGACATGGGGATCGGCGGCCTCGTCTTGGCGATCGCCGCTCTTTTATCGGCAGTAAGCTCCCAGGGTCCCGACCAGGTACGCCCCGCTCCCTTCATCACCTTGGACGGGGTGGGTTTCCTGCCCAATAACAGCAGAGTCGAGCTCAGCGAGGTGGGGATCAACTCTACTCGGTCTCTGCGATGCAATACGGACCTGAGTACGTGCTGCAACAACGGATCTAGCGGCCGTTGGGTCGCAGTGGGCCGGTCTGGAGACCACTACCAGCAGCGCCTGGTCGAAAGAGGTGTCGAACTGCACAGTGTCGAGGCTTTCACCGTTGGAAACTTTCGCTGCGAGATTGACACTGCAGCTAGCCTAGCAAGAGGTGGTCCTAGGGATATCCTCTACGTCAGTATCTTCCAAGGAGGTATGTATTGTGTAGATGTCAGCTATACACTGCACTCTGTGTTTTTCACCGTCAATAGCATCCACTGACTAACTAAAAGTAATGTATGGTTACTCTCATCATTACGATGCATGTAATAGTCTTTCCTTTCCATCACACAGCTGAAATGAGAATTTCTCTGAGTCTGAGAATTCTTCAGATCCAGCCGCCTCTGTACAGTCTCGTCTGCCGCACATCAAACTCCCCTGCTACCATTGTCACATGGAGGAGGGACTCAGAGAGGGTAGACAGTGCAGTGACTACAGCTGTGACTAGACGCGATTACGTCAATGTACTCAACGTGGCTGAAGAGGGCGTCTATAGCTGCGAAGTATTCACCAGTTCAACTTTAGGAAGCACAAGGGAGACCCGAACAATCAATGTAACAAGTATGTTCGAAGAATCCTACTATTGGAACATTATAACTATAGGCCTCCAACCACTTTAGAGTTTACTGTTTAAAATTCCTGCATGCCATAAATGAGTCACTACTGCATGTGCTCTAATTTATCCACAGCTCCTCTACCACCGGCAAACCTGACAGTGACTCAGATTGGTCACAGGAGTTTGCTGGTGTCCTGGACACCAACAGGCAGACCCAGCCACTACACCATCTACTACCAGGAGCCGCAGTCCACCCTGAGGAGTGTGCGTGCTGGACCAGACAACACTTCCGTCATTCTCCCCAGCTCCTTTATCTTTGTTGGCCAGAATCTCTCTGTCAGTGTAATGGCTGAAACTGTACTCGCCAGCGAGATGGTTGGGCCAGTTACTATCACCATTGGTAAGCTGGTACTTGGAATATAGTGACCAAGTAGTTCAAGAGTGTTTGTTCCACAGGGAACCTGGTGGTTAGTGTGCGTGGCTCAGTGCCCTCATCTGGTGCCTACCCTGGTCAAACTGTAATGGTCGCATGCCATGTAACTCTCGTGGCATCTGCTGCCGGAATTCCTGCCATAAACTGGCAAACTCCTCTCCAAGTTCCCCCCTCTCCCACCCTGTCATCTCCACAAGAGGGAGTTTTCATGAGCGAATTGATCATCGATTCCTTCAATTCGTCTCACGAGGGAACCTACCTCTGTGAGGCCAGCGTGGAAAATCTCGCTTTCTCCGTTGAAAACAGTCTCATCATCAACATCAACCCAAACTGTATGTCAACCAATTATTATTTGATCGTTATTTTACTTTATCTGTTACTCCTTTGCTCAATTAGCTCGACTGGCTGTGGCGTCCAGGGTTGAAATACAGAGCATGTACCCACTCCAATTTGACATCATCTGTACCTCTTTCGGAGGTTTCCCTGCCAGCGTGATGTGGATGAAGGGCTCTAGCGTAATTGACGGGGGTGTAACTGAACTGAGTGATGACTTTACTAGCTACAGACACATTCTGACTAATGTCACTGAGGAGGGGGTCTACACATGCACTGTGTCCAATGAGACTCCAGACAATGCCTCTGCAACTATCAATGCTACCAGTGAGTACTTTATACCAGTATTATAATTATATTATATATAGTATTATACTTTATAATAGTATTAAAATGTTGGCTAACTGTGTTAAACAATTTGTCAAATTCGATGTGCAGTCCCTAATCCTCCGTCTAACTTGACTGTCACTCAAAACGGTGTGGACAGCGTGCTGGTGTCGTGGACGCCCTCAGATGGAGCAGAGCTATACTTCATAATATACGAACATGTTCTCATCTCTGGAATGATGGTGGTACAGGGAACTCTTGACTCGGCCACAGTCAGACTGGATCCGGCATTTTCAATGCCTGGGTCTCCTTTCTCATTCATGCTGGTGGCTCACGCTGCCCTGCCCAGTGTTGAAGTTGGTCCAGTCGATATCACTCTAGGTATATATTACCGCTTTCCCATTGATTCTCTTGGTTATAGCCTTTATTATACTCTTCTTTTACTATTCAGGAAAACTGGATGTCAGGCTCTTTGCTCCATTGGAAGGAGGTCCAGTACTTGGTAGAAACTTTACCCTGGCCTGTGATGTGACAGTGTATGGTGACCTCAGTGGCTCTCCGGTGTTCACCTGGACTGGTCCTGGAGGAGCCCTCCCACAGCCCCTCAGGACCTCCGACGGGCGAAGCGAACTACACTTCGACCCCCTCCTGCTGTCTCAGAGTGGAGAGTACAGCTGTACTGTAGAAGTGGAGGGCTTTCCATTTCCATCAACACAATCCATTTTCGTCGATATCGATTTTCTAGGTACATGCTCACGATTCTTTTTTCAAAACTTTGTGTCTCTCACTCTCAGACAATTAGTTTGCTCTTTTTTACAATTGCAATTCCTTATCGAAGCTTACTTTCTGTGTGTCTCATGCATTAGTTACAAGCCCAAGAATTGCTGTAAGGGCAAGTCGCCAGGGTCCCTACTACTCTGGTACTGCACTCAACCTGACGTGTGACATAGAACTGGACCCAGCCATAGACGTTCCAGTGGTTGAGCGTGTACAGTGGATCATTGGTGGTGTGATATTCACCCCTCCACTGACAATAGATCGAATCACCATTACCGAGGAGTCTGTGGTGTTTTTCCCGGTGGATGTAGTGGACAGCACAGTGTTCAGATGTGACGTCCAGTTCAGCACTGAGAGTGCCTACCGACCTGGTGGACAGTTTGAGCTCACTGTCGAAGGTATATACCATGCATGCTTTATATAGGTGAAGATATATTTGCATTGCAATTCTTTGAATTAGGGATCGTGAATCATGTCTATTTTCTGCTGTTCAAATTTTGCTGCTAGTTCATCCTCACTGTTTTTAGCCAACCTACAGTCTTAAAATGCTAACAATTACGGTGCTATCTTTCTATCAGATCTCCCACCATTTGAGGTAGAGCTAACAGCTCCCTTCAATGGCACTGCTGGTGATGAATTTACCGTGTGGTGCTCCGTGACTGATGTACCTCATCTCGTTACTCTGCCTCGACTGGAGCTCATCGAAGCAGGAGACCTAGAAGCCAACATCACAGATACACTACTGGCCAACAGGACTGGCTACAGAGTGTCTGAAACTTTCAACCCTCTGACGACTCTGGACGCTGGGCAGCAATACTTTTGCAGGGCTCAGCTGGAGATTGAGTCAGTAGATGTATATCTAAGGTCTCAGAGCGACCCTTACACAGTCACTGTGCAGAGTAAGTCTTCGGTAATCCCACTGCTTGGCAATGCCCCCGGTAGCAAGAGCCACTTCCTTGTCATTGAGAAGCTCTATATTGTGGCCCCTATTCACCAGTGCAGCACACAGTGCAACTCTAAGTGATCACTTCCTCTCTCTCCCACTTGTTTGACCTGGCATCCTCTCCCCACAGTTCCCAGCCCTGATGTGACCATATCCGCAGTCCCTGGCAGAGACGTCTTTGAAGGCTCCACATTCACTCTCACCTGTCTGGCCACACTGAGCCCTCACGTGAACACTCCCACTGAGGTTTCATTTATGTGGGCAGTCCCCGGTCAATTAACCGGCGAGGAACCCGTAATTCAGACAGCAGACTCTGGACCACTGGTTCACTCTAGTAACCTCACTCTGGCTAATGCTAAAAGAGATGCTGGGGGACTGTACACATGCACTGTAAGCGTGCGTGGTGGGGATCACGTTCTGGATATCAGTGTGGCTCAAACTATCACTCCCAGAGTACTTGGTAAGAGGGAACCTGGTCTATTAAGTATTATGCAATTCCCTAAACGTGTGCTAACAGCTACTGCAATTGGCTATAATACCATGTAGTGCCAATAACTTTCAAGGGAGGACACAGCTTTTGCAAATTGCTGCCAACATAGTGCATTTGGTATTCTCAAAGTCCCTCAGTAGTATACAGTAGCTAGATGCTTATGTTTTGCTAGTATGCTTAGTGCTATAAGTCTACTTCTATTCTCCTCAGGTCAGCCACCTGTGTTTATAACAGGGCCCAATAATGCCAATGGAGGTGGCTCGGCGACTTTCGGCTGCCGAGTAGAGCTTTCAGCACAACCTCTGCTCGGTCCACCTCCTATTGTGAAGCTGATGAGAGAGGGAGAAACTGAACCTCTCGTTACCAGTTCTACTCTCAGCATCTCGTACACCTTGAGTCCCGTACTGGCTTCACAGGCTGGAGCTTACTTTTGTGAGCTGGAGGTTGAAGGCTTGTCTGAGTCACTGAGGAGCAGCGGACTACACAAGTTTACTGTGCTCGGTAAGTTTATACCAACCACCTTTTTCACCGTAACTGATCCACTTCTCTCTGTTGTACAGTTCCCAGCCCAACTTTTGCCCTCTCTTCGAGTCCTCCAAACAACATGAACATTAGCCTTGGTTCCACTGTTGTCCTCATCTGTGAGGTCACAATTGACCCTTCTTATGATGTGGTAGAGTCTGCAAACGTTAATTGGGTTGGGCCTCGTCTCAGCAGCTCAAGGGAGGGATTCACCATCACTCAGTCTACTAGTGGACTCAGCTGCTACACCAGCCGTCTCACCATCTCAGAGGTGGTCGGGGAGGACGCAGGAGATTACAGCTGTGGTTTGTCCAGCATTGGCGGAAATCAATATGTCGTCACTACCTCCACTACCAGCTTCATCCCTCTTAGAGTATTTGGTGAGTAACTTAGTACACATCTATCACTGCCTCCAACTAGAATAACAGCAAAAAATCTGTATATAGCTAGGAAAGAGAAAATCACATTAAAATCTATGACGATGATTCACAAATTAGAGGTGTAACACTAGACTTAAGTATTTGGTGAATAATTTAGTCAGTACACATCTATCACTGCCTCCAACTAGTGTAATACAAAAATCGGTACCTATATACACACGCAACTAGAAAAGCATTCAATAATGTGTGGTGAGGATTCACAAACTGAACGTAAGAGTTGCGAACACTAGACTTCGTTAAGTCACTTATAATAAAATATTCTATAGTAGTTAGTATTTCCCTTCAATCTCTCCCAGATCCTCCACCAATGCTGGTTCTGTCGTCATCAATACCACAAGGAGAGGTGGCGAGGGGATCATCCGTAGTCTTAACCTGTGTCGCCACCTTCTCCTCTCAGCTTGATTCAGTGAAGCTCACGTGGGGAGGACCCCAGACAATTAGTACCAGTGATGAAAGCAAGCACAAGATTGTTGAGGCAAATTCTGGCCTCACGTATTCCAATAGCCTCACAGTATTAGACGTGAAAGGGCAGGATGAAGGAGTGTATGTATGTACTCTGAGTGGAGTTGATAAAAATGGCCTCCAAGTCACTTCAGACAGTTCCATCGCCATCAGTGTTGCAGGTAAGTAACTATCTGTTACTATTATGCCGCTAAAACGTTGTGATGTGCTGAATTATTCCTTTACTTACAGAACCAAGCAACAGTGGTGCAGGCATACAGCGGAGTGGACTCAGTTTAATAATTACAGGAATTATAGCATTATTTCTCTTTGCATAGGCATGCATTCGCCTACTAGTTTAAGTTATTGCATAAAAATATTTTCACTGGCATCATCACATTATCTCATATCAATGGGTCATTATACGCGCATGCGCAGTTAACGGTAAGCGGTGCGCACTAATACGAGACTACTTGAGAACTGTGTAGCTATACGGCTTGTATATACATGAGTGCAGTCAACGCGACCCTTATGAAGGGATTAAAAATTGTAAGTCTATATGTTATGCTGGATGAAATTGGGCCTATCTTACATCTTTCCACCCCAGGAAGTTCCCTCAGAATGAGTGAACAGAGCGGTCTAGACGAGCTACTGAAGGATATTCCTTCAGAGATTCTTGATCAGCAGTGCTCCGACAGATTCCTCGCAGACGTTGCCGGGGAGATCGTAGTCTGGCGGACGCTGGCACCGTATTTTGATATAAGCCGAGGTGAGAAACAGAGCATTAGGGAGTCGTGTCGTACTTATGATGAAGAAAAGCAAGAATTCCTGTTTAAATGGAAAGAGAAAAATCCCGGGTGTGCTACAAATAGAGCTCTGCTAGAGGCGATTCATTCTTCTAATGCCATAAATCTCGTACACCATGCTTGTAAGTTATTACAACAAAAGTATTGTCAGGCCACGGCAAGCAGCGTGATAGCTACTCAAGCTGTCTCCCCCCTACTGCTAGAGTTCCAAAGTAAGCTGAAAATGAAATATAGCACCCATAAGCCAGTAATGGTAACCGAGTGGCCTCCGCCTTGCTCTTTGGACTACATCAAACTTGTACTTGTTCCGAAAAAGCAGATCGAGAGGGGAGAAATAAGTAATGATGATGTTTACGCTAGAATCTGTCGGAATGTTGACGAGACCATGGACACCTCTGATGAGGTGAACATTGAGCAATTGCTTGCAATCGACAACAGCAAGAGGAAGGTCATTCTATTTGAAGGTGCAGCAGGCTCAGGTAAGAGCACACTGCTGTGGCACGTCTGCCAGATGTGGCAGTCTGGGGAGCAATTCCAGCACTTCACTCTTGTGATGTTGGTACAGCTCAAAGATCCTGCAGTTCGCACAGCGAAAAGCCTCGCAGAGTTAGTGCCTTCTCGATCTCACCAATACTCTCAACGGGTGGCGTCTGAGATTGAAGCTATTTGTGGGGAAGGGGTTTTGTTGATGCTGGATGGGTGGGATGAAGCTCCAGCTGAGCTAAGAGAAGAAGGCTCATTTTTTCACGATCTTATAGCTAAGCCTTCTGATTGGTCAGTTGAGAAGGCAGCTATTGTAGTGTCTTCACGACCACTTACATCAGATGATGATTTGTGGGTCTATTTAAGCGAGCGCGTGGCACTCCAAGGCTTTACGCGAGAAATGAGAGAAAAGTATATTAGGGAGGCGCTACCGGAGAGTTCGGAAGATGCACAATGCCTCATTGACAATATTGAAAGTGCTGAAACAACTGATAGCATTGATTTTAGCCATCCATTAAATATTGCAAGTTTGGTTCATATTTTTCAGACATCAGGTGGCGATCTTCCGCCCACCCCTTGTCGCATTGCTATAAAGTTAGTCTTGTCTATTCTTTTCCGTCACATTAAAAAGACCCTTCCGAAGGGTAAAAAATCAATGAAGGCACTTAATTCCTTTGAAGACCTCCCCCAGCCTGTGCGTGAAAAGTTTCAACAGATCTGTAAAATTGCTTATGATGGAATGGTGAATGAAAAATTCACATTCACTAGTGAAGAATTAGTAAGTGGGGACGTGGGTCAGATTGCAAGCTGCACTGATGGTGACGAAGGTGAGGTTGAAACACTCAGTCTCCTACAACCCGAGTGTAGCCTAATGTCTGTAGGCACTTCTACAGTCTACCACTTTCTGCATCTGTCGCAGCAGGAGCTCTGTGCTGCATATCACGTCTCCAGACTCCCAGACCCAGAGAAAACACATATTGATGCGCTCGGAGTAATGCTTGGTGCCAGGAAGTTCTATGCCTTTGAGTGTGTTGGCAAGTTTTATTCAGCATTGACATCTTTAAATGTACCCTCCATAGCACAACATCTCCGGGTTTTTACCGTATATCCGACAAACAAACCGAAGATTCAAGTCAAGAAGTGACCTATACACAAAGTTCGGATGTAAATAGCGATCTGATTTAGAATGGCATCCTGATAGCTCGGAAGAAAGAGAGACACCTACTTTTGAATCAAGTGAAGGGTCTGATGGTTCTGTAGAATGGGAACATGATGGTTTCCTTTACAATGGATGTGACGTTTGTGTTGCGACACTCAGATGGAAGTAGTTATTTTGTTTCCTCTCTTTCTCGAGTTTGTTAGAGAATCGATGAATCCCAAGTTTATTGACGACTCAATTGGTAAAGAAGCCAGAATGCATATTGACAGGGACACTGAGCCCACACTCACTGCTCTGGTTAGTATGTCATCCAGTTTAGAATGGGTGACTTACTATATGCATTTTATTTCTTCGAAAATGTTCACCGCCCTCAGAAATAAACAAAAACTTAAGATATTTGCTGTATATGTGTTTCGTTGTATAAGCGATTGTGGCCATTTTGAGGCAATGAAAGATGCCCTCCCAACCTGCCCCGACCTGGAAGATGTGTATATGAGGGTCAGGTTCTCAGAGAATATTTCCCAAATGTCTGTGATCACACAGACGTTTCAGCACATGCAGCTGAAGAAATTAAACATTCACGCACAGAGTAGTATTAAAGATACTCAATTTGCAGAACTGGCACCAGCATTTATGGGGACATCTTACGTGAGTATTAAATGCAAGGAAGTTGGCTCACATGGTCTTGCAAAGCTTAAAGATGTTCTTTTGCACAGCAATTCTCTCGACTATTTGGAGATGCAAATTGAACAATATGGGGGAGAAGATAATGAGTTTTTTGGGTGTCTTAGAGTAGCACAATCAATCCATGGAATTGTATTGTATGGTAAAGACTGGACTATATCAAGCCTTCATGATGGAGAACCGTCACTAGTAGACTCAGCAGTTGGCAGGGTGCTACTCTCAGGGGATCTTGTACAGCTGGCTCAGATATTTGGATTGAATGAACCATCTCCAGTTGTGGAAAAGATTCTTCATGTCCACATTTTCAATTCCTGCCTCAAGATTGATTTCAAGAAGGAATGTTTCAAATCAGTTAGTCTAGTTGAGTGTCATCACAAGCCAAATCGTTCATTTTCAGAATAAAGAAGTGATAGAGGTTAAGAACAAAATAAAGTTGAATGGAGTACAAATGCTTTGTATGTCTCTTCAGAGCATTGCGGTGGAGGAGCTTAATCTTATGGGACATGAAATAGGCGATATTGGCACGTCTGTATTCAAAGACACCATTCCAACATTCCTGTGTTTAACGGAGTTGATAATTAGAAAATGTAACATAGGAGAAGCTGGTATTGCAGCAGTGTTCGTTGGCCTAACACAAAACAAAACTCTTACTACACTTGATGCAGCTTACAATAATTTTGGGGACAGTGGTGCCATTCACATAGCCAAATTGATCAACCAAACGTCATTGGAAGTTTTGGACATTGGCAATTGTGGTATAGGAGAGGGGGGTATTGCTGCTATTGCAGTATCACTTAGAACAAACACTACTCTCAAAAGACTTGGTCTGTACTCTGATAACCAAGTCCTCACTCAACATTCTGAAACTGAGCTTTCAAGATTGTTACTACAGAATAGAACATTGTCTGTTCTTCAAGTGAACCAAAACCACCCAATGTACTGGCCCGGATTATACGGTGATTGGGTTATAGAAGATTTGCAATATCTCAAGCTTCAATGCAATGCCTTATGATGGACACAGATGCTAGAGATGTCTATCGTGCTGTCAAAGTTTCCTCAGTTATAGCCAGTGTTGGGGTGGACAGAACCAGTTCTCTGGGCCAAGCTATTGATTCAGGAAACATGGAGCTAGCTGCTGACATTTTACAACTGGACAAGCTGCCACTTGGAAAGGGACAGATCAAACTCAACATGGATGACGGCAAAAGCTGGACAGTAGATTATCACAGAAAATGTGTTAGCAGTGATGATAGCTAATATGAACGTCAATACAATCACATTTCCAAGTTTTTAGTTTGCAAAATGACGTTTGTTCACTCTTCTCAAATGCGCTTAATTTATTACTCTAAGCGCAGTGAGCGCTACGGGTTGGGGGCGTGGTACGAAGTTTCATGGAGGCAGCTCTGGGTCAGCGAGTAGTCCGTGGACCAGACTGGGAGTGGGGAGACCAAGATGGCGGCGAGGGTTTCGTGGGGACGGTGGCTGGACTGGAGGAAGGTGGAGGAGGAGTGATAGTCCAGTGGGACATGGGACAGAGGTGTAGGTACCGCTGTGGCAGAGACAACAAGTTCGACCTCAGAGTCCTGGACGACGGCCCTAGCGGTAACCATCAAACTACATAGTTAATATTCACTATCCCGTTAGCGACTGAGTAAATCTAGCTATAGTCAATGCTACTCTATGAAGGGCGCAGTTATTCCAAGCATCGATGCCACGTGTGTCGAAAGAAGAGGGTGTACGGAGTGATGTGGAGGTGTCTGCACTGCCCGGAGTACTACCTGTGCTCCGTCTGCTACCTGGCCAACCATCACTGCTCCCTGCATCGATTCACATGTCTGCTGGACAGAGACGGGATGCAGTAAGTTTTTCAGGGCCCCATCTTCAATTGTACGCAAGCAAGGATTATGTTTGTGGATACCCTAGCGCTAACAAGGTCATCCTGGGAGAGAATTTTGCTGCATGTTATTTACTGACGTGTGTATAACACCAAAGCCCATAATACATAATAGTATAACACCATTATTTAGCTCTGTGTTGTATTAAGTGGAAGAAATGGTCGCTGCAGGTTTCGAGTCCTGGCACGAGCAGACTCCCGACGTATTCCAGTCAGTGGTCTGTTCTATGGAGCTGAGGTGGTGAGGGGGACTGACTGGAGATGGAATGACCAAGATGGTGACTATATATACTCTTATGTGCTATAGTTTACGTGATAGTGTCATTGGTGAATACATGTCTGTTGATTCTGAGGCAGGTGCCTTTTCCTGGAACATCAGTGTCAGAGAATTTACCTTATCTTTGATTTGTCTCTACGTGGACTTCGATCCTCTCAACTCCTGTATATACGCACATAGGTGGAGTGGGTAGGACGGGGAAGGTGGTGGAAGTATTGGACTGGAGTAATGAGGGAGGTAGTGGATATGAGGTTAGTGTCTGTAGCCTCTGTTTATGATGAGAAGTTATTCTGAACTGTACATTTAGCTGAACGACATTGTTTCAATTTTTGAGACTCACCTTAGCTCTTATGTAGACGGTGCCTAATCACAATAGATGATACCTGTAAGCATGCTAGGGACGAAATTTTACAAAGGAGGCATTTTTTCTTAGTCTAGTTCCCATGCATACGCGAACCTATCCTTGGTAAAACACACTACAGTATGTGTCCCACCCACAGCGGAGTGTTGTGTTGGTGACGTGGGAGAATGGGAACAAGAAGAAGTACAGAGCTGGACATAGAGGAAAGGTTGGTTAACTGATACTTTGCTGTTGACTCACACGGTAGGTCGTTGTGTGTTATGTTAGGTTGATGTGAGGTGTATTGCTCCTGGCAGCGGCGGGTTCTATTATCCTGAACACCTTCCTGTACTCTGTGAGTCGAACCTTCAGAAAAAGGGACCTTGTGAGACTTCATTGGCAAGCTGTAGCGAGCCAGCACCTGGCACTATTATATGTATATTTCCCAATTGTTGTCCCACTGGCTGGCTGGCGTTGCCACGCATACTGGAAAGGCCTGCATGAATTAATGTGCAATGCTGCAATGTGCATGCTTTCTCTATGCAGCTCTATTTTGAAAAAGCTATGTTGAAAGGCTTCTTCGCATGCTGCATATACACATTACTGGCTATGCATTAAGAAAGAGAAAACTGAATGCTATGCACCATTCAATTGATTGTTTAGGCATAAACTAAGGTTGAGCCCTACATCACTGTGTTTTGTTACTGATCTGATGGTAATGGGGCACTACATACTCACAGGTCAAGCTGTGAAGCCTCCTAGCTCAGGGGACATAGTGACTGGGGACAGAATAAAGTGTGAGGTGAATCTTGCTGAGCTGGACGACCCTGAAATGGCAGAGAAGATTGGTCTGGTGAGAGACTCCTTCAATCTATGGCATTATTGACACTTAGAGAGTTAGTGACCTTGGCTGGGCAAGCTCCCCATTACATTGTTGCTCCCCTCTTAATGATTGCGTGGGCACAATGCCACCTGGGCCCCTGCCCACGTGGGGAAAAAACACGGCATTACTGGTTTACACTTGCTTGAGTTTGCATTGACTATATAAAATGTGTTCGAGAATGACGTTGTATCTGTACTGTCTGATTGTGTAAAGATCATATTGAGTGTAAAGATGGATACTCACACACAGATGTTGGACCATGTCGGGACAGTCAATGTCCTCCTGGAGAATGGAGAGCTCCTGGTCCGCTACCCTGGCAACTCCCTCGTTCAAGTCAACCCAGCAGCTGCCAAGAAGGTCGGTCGGTTCCCACCGTGTTCCAACTAGTGTTGCACGAGTCCATTTCAAACCAAACTGGGTGCAATACAGCTTCATATGCAAGCAACCAATGAAAAAATACTAGCTATTGTAAGGTCATGCCAATTCCGGTTCACTTCATGGATCACAGAGTTCTGAGTTTGGTTGGTTTATGTCTCATCCAGGGCAGCTCTCCAAAAAAGTTGTTGTCCTGGGTATTGCTGGACTGTACTTGTCTTTCTCTCTTACTTTGTCGTCTGAATGACGGATTTTTCCATACATGATAATAATATGTGAACAGACTCCACATACAGTAATGTTTTCATGATTCTAAAATACGCACAAAACACGTGCGAAATATTGAACTGCTCGCTTTGCTTGCCAAAACTGTGTTGCATTCCTTCTTGTACATTACTTATTTGTAATGCAAGTCTGCAAACGTTACATGGTTTGGGCCTCGTCTCAGCAGCTCGAGGGAGGGATTCACCATCACTCAGTCTACTAGTGGACTCAGCTGCT